ATCCCAACCCTGTTTCTGAAGGATGTAAAGCTGGAGATTACAGCCGTTCCAGTGCATCACGTGTTAACTGAAGTTCGTTGCTAAAGTGTAACAGTAAACAAAGACTGTCTGCCTCTTTGCGATAAAGCACATTTATTCTGACGCCGTGTACCGTGGTCATGATACCAGAAATTTAATAACTAAAAACTTAGTTTGCTCCGCCACTGTTCGAATTCTACGAACAGCTGCAGCACTGAATGAACATGCCCCACATGAGTCGACAACTAGCAGTTCAAAGTGAATTTGCTCAAAAACTTCAAAGTTCATCGATATAAATATTTTCATCGAAATCTTTAATCTGACTCTTCTTCGTCTTCTTCAGTGTATGCAGAGTCTTGCGAAACTTCTGAATCAGACTGATCCTCTTCAAGAGAAAAGTCCCATTGCGGATGAGAAGTGATCTGACGTGCTTCGAACACTTCGAACTAAAAACAAGGTTTCGCGAGTGATCACGGGGATACATGATTACCTTGACGTCCTTTGACAAGTCACAGTCTAGGTATGAATCAGAACGCAAGCATGCCTGGTATGTGTAAATTCCAGGTTTGGAAGGTGCTGGAAATTTCATTTCTATCTAAATTACAAAAACTTGCATTCATCATATCGGTGACCAGTGATGAATGGAAACAATGTTTTGATCAATATTTACCAGTGAACGATCAGCGTTTTATGCCAGAAAAAAACCGCAGAGATGAGCAGCGGTTCAAATTTTCGCTACTTACCTTGCCACTCACTATAATAATCTAGAGTTTTCAACTCTAACATCCACGGATCAAAACCACGCAGATTTGTACACTCAATGAAAATGATTGAAAAACAACAGAAATCCTGTGGTTTAAGCATTACGATAAACACTACTGACGATAGGAATTTCATTTCGGCTCAAAACTTTCCAGCTGCGTCAGACTGCCAAAAGAACTCAAAATGCAGCATTTTGTTGAAGACCCTTTAGACACGAACATGAACAATGATAGTAGTTACTTGTTTGACAAACTAACACCTGAACTATAAGAAAACCGCATTTATGTGATTATTTATTTATTCGCAGTATAACTAACAAAACGCGAACAAAACAGCCTATGTGAAAAATGATGAATACAGCGATTGCTTTACTGTCAATGGAAATTCTTACTAAACTGAAAATTCTAAACTCAGCTTTAATTCTAAAACAATGGCCTAAAATAACTTTATACTGATCATTAAAACCTAAACTACTATAATCTTACAGTAGTCAGCTAATGAGGCAAAAATATTCAGTAGTTGACAGGCTTCCATATGTAATCTAAGTAACTTGACCTAATAAAAGTGTTATGACTAAAATCCCGAATAGCGGGGTTCACGGGGGTGGGGGGAGTATTCATGTTAATCATGGAAGAAAGTGCTGTAAAATCCTTTTAATATCGTCGATCTTTTGGTCCAGGGATGACTCACGAGCAAGGAGGGCGGAAGAGCCAGGCAATGCAGAATGGAAGGTATCAAGAAATGGAAATGAGAAAGTATCATTCATGGCGCTAGCGTTCAACCGATCAAGAAAACGAAGTACAAAAAATGCAAAATTGTACATTTAGCCAATTTTAAATAGTGGGTGACAGAACATTCATTAGGTCCCTTTTTTCTGTCTTCTTTCATGTAGGGGCTAATCTGATGGCAGCTGGGAGCCAACAATAGAAAAGCAACGGCGGCTTACCATAAATTCATAATGATGCGAAGGCTCTTTCGTGTGCATCTGACTGTCCAAACAACAGCATTTTGAATTTGTTTGTGAGTGACTTTCGTCACTTTTAAGTGGTTTAGGCTCAGCTTAATGGATTTTGGGATAGAGCCGTTTCTGGAGTGGATCAGTGATGCTACTC